GTGTATAGTTATTTCAGTTACTTAATGAGAAAGCTGAAATTAAAATCTTAGTCTTCTACAGTCTAGAAAATATTATAAAACTATAAATGGAGAAAAGAAATGAACACATATAACCAACTATCAGTTATCCATCCAACTACAGGCTGCTTCCCCACTTTCATTCAGTTGCTTCAAGGGTCATCTGCAAGTGGCGCTGAACCACAGTTAAGCAAAATGTTTCTGATTCCAACGATTTCCAATGAAAACCAGAGAAAAGTATCTACTATCTAAAGAAATGGTAACTCTAACAAGTCACTCATATTATTTATCTGGTTTCTAATTTAACAGAACTTTAGAATAATAAAATATGGCAAACTTGAAGTCAAAAATCTGAACCAAAAAATACTAAACAGTGTTTCGGTATGCTTTCCAATGGCCAGTTTTCCTCACATTCCAATCCCCTATAATTATCAAGTTGAGGACATGACAAGGAACTTAAGTACAAAATGGAAAAGGAAGTATATAAATGGAAAGGAAATGATGCAGAACATGCCATTGCTTATTAAACTAGCAACTGGATCTGGAGCCTTAGGAAATTCAGTTTTCTTATCAGTTAGAATTAGGATTTAAAAGCTGGAGCAGGCTTCAGATCTTACCTAGTGCCGCCATTATTTTATAGTAAAACAAGGAACAGAGGGTCTAACCTTAAATTGCAGGGTGAGGTAGAAAAAGAACCTTAGGGCGAGGCATGGTGGCTCATGCCTGTGATCCCAGCACTTTGGGAGGCTCAGGCAGGAAAACTGCTTGAGTCCAGAAGTTTGAGACCAGCCTGGGCAACATAGTGAGACAAAAAATTTTAAACGTTAGCTAGACATGTTGCCCCATGCCTGTAGTCCCAGGGAGGCCTTAGACCCTGCATTGCCCAGTTCATGCATCTCTTGTTCATGTCTTTAAACCCTGTGAATAGTACAATAGTACAAAGCCTAGTCAATTGCAGCTGCTCAATAAATGGTTACTTGGCTGAACTGTTAGCAGTCCTTTTTGTACTGTATGTTCATAGGGTCATTCCTACCAGAGGACTAAATGCTAATCTTATGATTTCTCGGTTAACTTTCAGTGCCAAAAAAGATTTAGCAAGTGACTTCCTGCCCCAAATACTATAACTTAACATACTATTTAAACAGAGGCCCTCAACAATTCAACCTGGAGGAAATGGTCAGGGTGATTTCTACAGTAGGTCATTTTAATCAGCTATCTGTTCAGACAGGTCTGCCCACTAGTAAGGATACATTAATGATAAAATTTTCAACCTTACTTTAGAAAAATCTGCTTTATTCATTGATATGAATGCCACTGACATAACAGTAATGAAAATTTATTAAACTTCCAATTTGCCAAAATTTGAGAAACCACAGACAACCCTTCACTTATAAAGTAAAACATTTACTAATCACATGCTTCCAGCCTGAAAAACTAGATTTATTAATCCTCAAAAGGTGATGAATTTAGTTTCTATCTCAGTAGTAAAGGGCCAACATAAAACAAATATCATCATAAAAACACAGGAGCTGGCTGAGTGATGTAGAATTTGCTAGTTCAAGATAGTTGGCTCAGCTTGAATAAATGGTCTTTTCACTCCGTGGAAACAAGAAAACTGAAACATCATCCAAGTCTGCAATCAGAGACTGCACAAAAGTTAGATGATCAGAGCTAATCTAGAGAGAAACTGCCTTTTCTTCACAGAAACAGGAATTATGATTTTTAAAAATGTTTTGAAGAATTAAATGCAATTTTTTTTTCATTTCTGCTGGATTAGTTTCACCCTATTTGCTTATTTTCCCAGATTTATTTTCTTCACCCTATTGTTTTTTTTTAACATATTGTTGTTTTTCTAGAATTCCTTATCTGGCTACTGTAATCCACAGTGAATGTTTTCAAGTGTTGACTACTTTGATAGAATTTTAAAAACCTAATGTGATCATCAAAAAGATGTCCAAAGATATTACAAATGAGGTTCAAGACATGCTATCCCAAAATATGGCACTTTGGCATTTCAAGAACTAGCAAAGAAAGAAAAATCACTCTCATGATTGACCCTTCTCCCCTAAAGCAGGCTATAAAACCTAGAAAGAATTCTTTGACCTCCCTCTGAGTAAGAACTTCATTCCAGAGATGCCCCGGAGGAAAGAAATATCCTTATCTTTCAAGACACAGGGATACAGAGAAGAATATGAACAAATAGGCCTTGCAAGGTGGTCCCCAATTTATTAGATTATATCCCTTTTATAATACTTCCCCATAACCAGTTGTCATCAAACCAAGCATAAAAATAGTTTTTCCTGTTTCTTCGGGTTTCCATTTCCTTATGAAGGTTCCCATGTCATGTAAAAACTATATTAAGTAAATTTGTATGCATTTATCTTATTAATCTGTCTTTTGTTACAGGGCCTCAGCCATGAACCTAAAGATAGGTGAGAAAAATATCTTTTCTCCCCTACACTACTTGTAACCTAGTAAAAATATTATGTGCAATGAATCTAAGGTTTTTAAACTTTTAATTAATTTATTTTATTTCTTGTAGACAGGTGATCTTGCTATGACGGCCAGGCGGGTCTCAAACTCTTGGCCTGAAGCAACCCTGTCTTGGGCCTCTCAAAGTATTGAGGTTACAGGCATGAGCCATTACACCCAGCAAAGTCTAGGGTTTTGAAGAGCTACCAGGAAGACTACAAGATATAATGCCTTAATACTATAAATGTTAAGAAATACATAACATTTTTATATAAATACTTAAATATTTTTATATATTGATATATTTCAGAACGTTTCTGGATGTATAAAGGTTTATAATTGTCTTATATTACTAGACTATACCTTTTATCACATATAAAACTATAACTTTGTCCATTTTAATACTTTTCTCCTTGTACTGTACTTTGTATAATATTGTCATTTAAAAGTTTCTTTTAAATTCCACTTGCTGTTATCTGCACCCTCCCTCTCCATGCCCACCTTTATTTTCAATCTTTCTGTGTCAGGACAACTTAAGCAGTAAATGAGTAACCGGTTACCCAAGGCTACCCTCTAGTGGTTGCTCATAGCATATTAAAATATATATTTTTCTATCCATGTTAAAAATGAATCAAACTGTAGAAAAAGAGACAAGATCTTTAGCACACTTTTACTTACTCTGTCAATTATCAAATTAGCTCCAGAATAACTCTTAAACTAAATTGCTGAAGGATTAAATGATTCTCACAAAGTCACAACAATATCTTGAGATATTTCACTTATTAGATTACATGTTCTTTTCTAGTCATCTAAGCATTACTACATAACAGACAACCAAAAGAACAAAATTCTATAAAATTTTTAAAAGTAGCCATAAATAATAGAAGACTATACCATGCATTGAAATGACAAATGTGATGAGCTGAAGTTTTAATTTACTGTGACAAGCCAGATTGTTCGTGTACAATTTCAAGGACAAAAAAAATATGGATCTATAGTCTCCTGTTGTAAGCAAGGGTTTGTTTCTTTTCTAAAGGTCAGGAACCAATAGTTCACACTTGGTGAGACTAAATTCCCTAAGGGCTGCTTCTGAAGGAGATTAAGAGAGAAATGTATCCAAAAAAAAAGCTACATCAAGAATTAGAAAAAATGTATGTTAGGTGACAGATGGCTAATTTATTTTTTTAAGCACATTTACAAGGCCTTTTGGAGATGTGGTTGATTTCAGGACTGAGGAAGGGAAAATACAAGATGAGTCTGAAGCATCTCTTGGTGCCAGAGAGGATGTGCTCAAAAGGAGGTTGCCAGTGTGTCAAAAAAGCATAGGAACCAACCTGAAAGAGCTCCCAGTGGCCAAAGCTGGAACATTCTGGACAACAAAATCAACAACAAAGACTGGATTATAATCCATAGAATAAAATACATATCCATGAATGTGGATAAGTATTTTAACATAAGTAACTGAAAAACGAATGGGTGGGGCGGGGGGAAATGACAGCTTTTCCTTACAGAAAAATTCCAATAATAAACATAGATGGAATGGGGGAAATAGAAAATAACCTTTAGAGCACCTTAGCGATAATACTTGCAGGCAAGATCTATGGAGGGATGCCAAAAATCAGTGGGGAAATGGGACATTTACATAGTCTAAAAGTATGTCCCCCAAGATGTTCTGAGGAGAACATAGTAACTCTACAGTGGAGAAACCCAGCAGATAACACTTTAACCACGTGATCAAGGTTAGTATCACCAATAATAAGTTATCATTATAAATAAGTATTGGTATCACATGCCCTTAGAGGGATATGATCAGAAGTGAATATCATGCCTGTCCTGCCAAAAATGCATAACGTCAATCTAATCATGAGAAAACTTCAGACAAACCCAAAGTAACCAGTATCCTTCCAAAGCATCAAGATCATGAAAAGAGAAGAAACGACTGAGAAATTGTCACAGACTACAAAAGGTTAAGGAGACATGACAGCTAAATGCAATGTGGAGTCTTGGATTGGATCTCAGAACAGCAGAAGGACAACAGTGAGAAAAATGGTAAAATGTGAATAAAGTCTCTAGTTAACAGTATTGTACCAATGTTAATTAGTTGATTCCGACAGGTGAATAATGTTTGTGGCAAGATGCTAATATTAGGAGAAGCTTGGTGAAGACTGTATATAACTCTTTGTACTATTTTTCTAACTTTTCCATTAGTCTAAACTTTTTTCACAAATAAAATGTTTCTATCTAGGCATGGTGGCTCATGCCTGTTATCTTAGCACTTTGGGAGGCCAAGGCAGGTGGATCACTTGAGGTCACGAGTTTGAGACCAGCCTGGTCAACATGGTAAAACCCCGTCTCTACTAAAAACACAAAAATTAGCTGGGCCTACACAGTGGTGGGCACCTGTAATTCCAGCTACTTGGAGGTTGAGGCAGGAGAATCACTTGAACCCGGGAGGCAGAGGTTGTAGTGAGCCAAAACCGAGCCACTGCACTCCAGCCTGGGCCACACAGCAAGACTCCGTCTCAAAAAACAAAAACAAAAGTTTATGTACCAAGCAATGACCAAGTACAACACAGATTACCTAATTTGATTGTCCTAACAACTCGGCAAAGGTAGTATGAATATCCCTATTTTACAGCCTAGGAAACTGAGACTTCAAAAGATTAAGTGAAATGTTCAAATGCACACAGTAAGATGTTGTGTCAGGACTGAAACCTTGTTATGACTTGTTCAGTCTTTATTCTTTCTACCAGGTTACCATGAGGATGCACACAGGCATGTATTCACCCAAGAAACAGAAGTAATCTCTTCTAAAACTAGAGTCAAATTTTAAAGTGGCAGCAATGCTAAAAAACAGCAGAGGCTATATTTAGAATCTAGTGGCAATTTTCAATTTGCTTAAAATATGCAGTTTTGGGGAAACATGCTTTTCCGTCAAAAAGGCAAATTTCTATATATTTAAATAAAGCCATTTAAATTTATTGTGACATCCAGCAAGTCTTATAAAACTACACAAATTAGAATATACTGCTATGCTACCCAATATGAAGTGTAAAAAAGATGAATTTATAACAAAGGTTTTAACTTCAATAGGCACAGTTGTTTTATTACACAGTTCAAAGATACCTAATACAGATAAGAAGGGAATTTTCAGATGTCTTAGTGTTTTTTCCTTGCAACATTAAACCATTTACCTACATAAACACCATATAAATATTTAATACAAAGAAGGAGCATATCAAGCTCTATAAAAATAGCTGAGAAATAAAATGTTCATGACGGAAAAGAAATGATTCCCCCTTTTCCCTTTTAGTGATACGTTATAGGCATCATAGTAACGACAGGTTACTTCACTCTGTGAATTATGATAAAGAATCAGAATTAAACCGCTAAACAAAGTGGTTCCTTTCTTATAACCAAATGTAACTGAATTAAATTATTGATGGACTGTGTTCTCTGCAGTGCAGGAAGACGGCTCTACCAAGGGAGAGCTATATAAACTTCATTGTCAGGCTTCAGGTTATCTGTTTACTTCTGAACTTTAATGTGATTTACCATTAAGAAACTGAATTTGTTTTGCCACACTATCCCCCCTTTGAATGAACTATACACTGGAAATATGCTAATAGAAAAAGTAGGTAAAACAAATTGCATTTTTCCCCAATTCTACAACATAAAATTTTTTTAAAGCACATCATTTTAAATGTTAGAAGATGATTTGAATATCCTAACAAATCTCTCACATACTTATTTATAGGAATTTAACTTAAAAATTAAAATATCAGCCTGGTGCAGTGGCTCATGCCTATAATCCCAGCGCCTTAGGAGACCGAGGTGGGAGGATCACAAGGTCAGGAGATTGAGAGAATCCTGGCTAACATGGTGAAACCCCATCTCTATTAAAAACACAAAAAATTTGTAGCCAATTAAGCCCACTGGGTTCCTTTCCTCATGGGGGACCAGTGTGCAATGGCTGCAAACAGCAGCTTCCTTGGCAGTGTATGCAGCCTGTTTCTTGCATGGGTTGCTCTAGGGGACCTTGGAGACAGGCCTTCCAGATATATGTTCATGTGTCTCACCTTGCACTTCCCCAATAGGCTCCAAACAGGGATGCGACGTGCCTTTGGAAAGCCCCAGGGCACTGTGGCCAGGGTTCACATTGGGCAAGTGATCATGTCCATCCGCACTAAGCTGCAGAACAAGGAGCATGTGACTGAGGCCCTGCGCAGGGCCAAGTTCAAGTTCGCTGGCCGCCAGAAGATCCACATCTCAAAGAAGTGGGGCTTCACCGAGTTCAATGCCGATGAATTTGAAGATATGGTGGCTGAGAAGCGGCTCATCCCAGATGGCTGTGGGGTTAAGTACATCCCCAATCGTGGCTCTCTGGACAAGTGGCGGGCCCTGTACTCATGAGGGCTTCCACTGTGCTGTCCCCTTGTAATATGAACCAATAAATTTACTTCCTGTCCGAAAAAAAAAAAAACACACACAAACACAAAAAATTAGCCCGGCATGGTGGCACGCACCCGCAGTCCCAGCTACTTGGGAGGCTGAGACAGGAGAATGGTTTGAACCTGGGAGGCAGAGGTTGCAGTGAGTCAAGATCGTGTCACTGCACTCCAGCCTGTGTGACAGACTGAGACTCCGTCTCAAAAAAAAAAAAAAAAAAAAAAAAACCCCGTCAAAAAAAAAAAAAAAAAAAAAATTAAAATATCAGTGGCATATTATCATAAGTATGGCTAAAAGAACAGGAACAGCTGGGAAAAATAAACTGAGTGGAGACTAAGTCAGACAATTTAGGCTGGGTATGGTGGCTCACGCCTGTAATCCCAGCATTTGGGAGGCTAAGGCGGGTGAATCACCTGAACTCAGGAGTTTGAGACCAGCCTGGTCAATATGGTGAAACCCCATCTCTACTAAAAATACAAAATTAGCCAAGTGTGGTGTTGTGTGCCTGTAATCCCAGCTATTTGGGAGGCTGAGGCAGGAGAATCGCTTGAACCCAGGAGGCGGAGGTTGCAGTGAGCCTAGCTCATGCCACTGCACTCCAGGCTGGGCAACAAGAGCAACACTCCATCTTTAAAAAAAAAAAAAAAAAAAAAACAGACAATTTAATACACTTTAAAATGTATCCAAAGTTTTGAAGTCTATAATACCTTATTCAAAAAAATACAGATTGAATTAAAATGAGTATTAAAACTACCTATATTTTATATGTTAATTCTCACTCCTCAGGAGTAAATTTTCCACCCACTTGGTCATTACCTCATTTCTTTTCACAATATCATTTAAGTATGTAGGAATAATTAACTTATTTCTATTTGGTGATGGCCAGCTGAATAACAGAGTCTCTCCATAGCAAATCTACAACTCCAGTCTAGGTCTGTTGATTCCCTATCCAGAGCTCATTTACCGAATCATAACACCTCTCAGCTATTTACTATGTGTAGTGAAGGATATAGAATAGCTTGTCGCAATGCATTATAAAAAGCAAATACATCATAGTTGTGTTCAGCAGTCTACCAGCCTCCATTTTCATGTCTGGGTACATTTTACAATTCCACAGATAAAAATCACTATTTAGTGTGATAGAAATTACTACCTTATTTATTGCCTATTAACTTGACAGTGAGAAAGACATGAAAAGATGGATCTTGGGCTAGATCATACATTCATGGTCCTTCTAAGCCCTGATTTCTATCTACAAGGCAGGAAGAAAATCTAAGTGTATTGTTCATCCACCAGGAGGTTGGTCTGGTCCACGTTATGTTTGAGGAGCCTATTTGGCATTCAAGGGGAGATAGAGAGCAGGTAGTTGGGTATACCTGACTCTAGGGTAAAGAGAGCAGTCTGGCTGGAGGCTCTATGAGAATGCAAACTCTGGGAAAACAGAGATTTGGTCTATTTTGTTAAGTTCTATACCTTTAAACACCCACAGCAATGCCCAGGACATACAAATAGCTCTATAAATATTAGATGGAGCTATGTGAAACTGCCATGACATTGTACTATTTTTGATCTACATTAACAGCAACTTCATATGATTCCACCTAATACCTACTGAATAAATGATACACTGTAATTTTTCATTTCACAGTCTCACCTCTGGGCCTGAGCTAAAAAAAAAAGTTCTGCCTTACTGGAAAAAGAGTAGAGCAGAGTGGGTAGGGGATCCTGAAGTTGGTCCTTACTCCTTTTCAGACCCCTAAGGTCTCAGTCTCCCTCTTTCCTGGCTAGTGCATTACACACACACCAAATATTTATTGTTGGTGGTAACGATGACAGAAATTACCTTTTCCTAATATTTCCTATAAGTAATTATTAGAAAAATAAAATTAGCCACTTGCAAACTAGTTGACTTTAAATAAATTTACAATATTTTTCTCAGTACTGTTACTGGGTACAAGGTTCTGATCATGAGTTGTCCAGGTCCGTGGCACATTGAACAAAGAAATGAATAGCATGCACGAACAAGCAAATAAAGTGTAGATTTATTGAAGCGGGAGGCAATAAAAGTGAAAGTACACTCCACAGAATGGCAGTGGCCCAAGCAAGTGGCTCAAAAGCCCTGGTAGCAAAGTCTTCTGGGGTTTAAGTACCCTCTAGAGGTCTCCCATTGGTTACACCCTATGTAAATGAAGGGCTGGCTCATGCCAATTAGAGGTCAAAGTGAACTGGCCCATGGCCGATCAAAGACTGGCTAGATTGGCACCTGACACAAAAGAAGGTCTTAGAATGGACTAGTCATATGCCGGAGTGCAGGTTTGCCTCATGGCCAATCAGAGGCTGGCAAGAATAGGCACCTTATGCAAATGAAGTGCTAGAATTTAGTTACAAGAAGTTTGCGTGAATTGGCCTTAGGTTCCCTGCCTTAATAGCTTATTCTCCTGCCTCACTACTAGAGTTATCATTTTATTGCTAAACTTTCTGAGTAATAGGAAGATTATTTCTCCAATGCCATAGCAGAAGAATAGATCTCTACTACCAAACCATGCAGAAACACTATGTATGTGTGTTAAGGATGTTACTATGCTATTTAATTACACTAAGGGATATTTCTGCCTGTATTTGTTTTTCTATGTTATATCACACTTAGAATCTTCCAAAGAAAAATCCAATTGCTTATAATTTTACCTGAATAGATTATCACATGAAACAACTTTTCTCCTGAAACACACACATACATGCATATATAATCCTTAAAAGCTTTTATGAATGATCTTTACCACACTGTTATATAAAATTTCCACAGTAGTTCTCTTTTTTGGTTTATCATGCCACAAACTGAATATAAAATAAGAATTATTTTCTATTCTGTTTTATAAAGAAATGCTGTTCCTGAAGAACTTTAATATATATTAATTCAAATTTAATCATTTAAATGGAATGGCTATGCAAATCTGAGCATGGTGCTCTGATAGGATAACTTTTAGGATCACAACTCCAGTAGCCAGCTCACATGTAGATGAATTTTCTTTAAAATTCAAAAGCTGCCTCTGATGCCCTATAATAATAAAACAATAATGAGAAACACAACACACATTTCTCATTATTGTTCTATCATTATAGGATATCAGAGGAATAATAATATTTTGATATGCAGCTTTAAAGAGTAATTTGTTGAATAACAATAATCCCCAAGTCAAGTTGATATATTAATTTGCTTCTAAATAAATCAAAGTATAGGCCAGGTGTGGTGGCTCATGCCTGTAATCCCAGCAACTAGGGAGGCCAAGGGAGAAAGATCACTTGAGCTCAAGAGTTTGAGGTTAACCTCACATATAGTGAGGTTACTCTATGACTGTGCCGCTGCATTCCATCCTGAGGGACAGAGTAAAACACTGTCTCTAACCAAAGTAAATAAATAAGTAACTAAAGAAAAGCACAACATCACTTTTGAAACTTAAGTAGTAGCAGATAATGAGAACCCTTTCCCAAGCAGCTACAACATTAGGTGATTTTTAAAAAGGCTAGAATTTGTTTTACCTTATACTACTAAACAATTCACATTTCACAAAACGTGCTGCTCTGACTTGTTTAAACAGTGGATGTACCCCCATCACATGATCTGGTCTCTCTTTCTTAGCTATATTCATCCAATCTGGACAGTGAACTGTGATGGCAGGGACATCTCTCTATTCCCTTAAATCTCTCTGCTTTATGCCCTTTGTGCTTGATAGTGAGGATCTTCAAAAACTATAAATTAAATTCCACAGGTTTGCACACAAAATTGCATATAAATGTGTAAAGTACTATTAAATCTCAGTTCCTTAAAGGTTCAGAGGATTATTATCTACTCTTCCCTTCTGTTATGAAAACATCATGTCCCACAAACCTGCAAAATTAAGCTACCCAACCAACAAGCGCAAGCTGTTTAGCTCTTAAATTGAGGTGACGCAATGTGCAAAGGAAAGTCACCTTAATTCCACTAAGGAAAAAAAATGCACTAAAACCCATCTCTCTGAGCTGCGCCTTCATTCAATATTGAAACAAGTAATCTCAAATTCCATGGTTTTGGCTGCTGCTCAACACTATTCTATTCAACTGGGGATTGAACAAAGCAAAATAAAAAGGAGCTTTAATCTGCCTTTTCTTCTTTTTTTGCTATACTACATTGACAGCACCTTGTTCATTAATTAAACTTTTTCTTCCCTTAAAGAAATAGACTTTAGAGTACTATACTGAACACTGAGGAAGCAGGTAAGAAATAAAAAGCATACATTTAAAAATAAATCTAGGATTTAAAAATTGTAGTTGGAGATACAAAATATTCATGAACAATAAAACAAATACAGAGAAACATTTCAGCAAATACAAAGTAAGATGGTAAGTATTTAACACATACAGGAGCTGACACAGAGGCAGAACTAGGAGAGACTAGGGGTTCCTCTCACAGATTTTACATCAATCAAGACAGCTTCATCTTGATGACTGAAACAGTTCAGGCGTCTTACACATTTTCTCTCATCAACTAGAGGTAGAGTTACAAATTTAAGTCTTTGGAGACTATGAACCCAGTTAATAATGACTAATTTGCCAAATTTGCTGGAACCCTTAAAAATAATTTCTGTTTTGTGAGCCTGACTTGTGCTTCTTACATAAGAAGAGAACGCAATCACTGTTGTTGGTTTTTTGTTTGTCTGTTTGTGACAGAGTCTCGCTCTGTCACCCAGGCTGGAAGTGCAGTGGCACTGTCTCAGCTCACTGCAACCTACACCTCCTGGATTGAAGCAATTCTCCCACTTCATCCTCCCGAGTAGCTAAGATTACAGGCGCACACCACCACGCCTAGCTAAGTTTTTGTATTTTTAGTAGAGACGGGGTCTTACCATGTTAGCCAGGCTTGTCTCGAAATCTACCCACCTTGGCCTCCCAAAGTGCAGGGATTACAGGTGTGAGCCACTGCACCCAGCTTTCACTGTTGTTTTTGTTCTGTATAATAATAGGCATGGTAGGGAGGTCATGAAGAAAAAAACATAATTCTTATTCATTACCT